TTTTTCCTATAAAGAACATTTAATCTGAAGAAACAAAAACGTGCCTAAACTTGTGCTAACAGCGGCATTTAGTGACATTTGCAGTGTAGCCGGGTAAACGATGTCTGCGGACGGGAGGGAGGTGGTTCGTCGTTCAGCGCTAGCTCGTTTACAGCTAGCTCAGACGAACCTGCGGCCGCGTAAATGTTTTGGCTTCCCTTATGGACACACTCGCTCCGATCATCGCGCTGTGCTTTCTTGGGGTTTTTTCTTCAGCAGGTAACTCCAACTTATTTAAATGGCACGTTTGTACGTTTACATCACTAGGAGAACTACAGGCTGTTCGTGTATTTGTAAGCCTGTATGATTTTACCGGTGTTAAAAACCTAATGGCTTCTGTTGTGTGATGCAATTCTGTGGCTTCTCAACTCTTGAAGTTTACAGCGGAAACACTAAATCAATTTTTGGCGCAACACTGATAAGAAGCAGGGAGAGGAAGATTTCCAAAGCCGTTAATGGCATGATGATACTTTTAATCAGTCAACAGGTTATCGGCAGTAGAGCATTTGTGGTGCTCTGCCGCCAGAGTCGGCACCGGCATTTTCTTTGGCTGCGAACAGAAATCGTGATCATCAGCTTATTTTGTCGGAGTGGTTTTTGTTTGCATCATTGTTGGCTTTATGGCGAACCGATGCGGTTAATAAGAGTGCAGTTATGGTCACACTTTAGATGGAAGGTGGTATTTCCATCTGAGCAGATGTCTATAAACTTCCTGCTCTGGGTCCTTTGGAATTTCTTAGGGTAAAAAATATCTGACTGTGGGCTCGGAATGCTTGAAGTCCTGCTACTGAACAATAAACTAACACATTTCGTTGAGAATTCAAATGTAATTTGGAGACTGTCAAATTATCTAAATGTTGCTTTTTTCCCTCCCCAGAAACTCCTCAAAGCTATTGCCCATCCCCACTGATTCAGGCAGAAGAAGGTCGTAATGTCTCATTACCATGTTATGTGGATCCCTCAGTTGACCTGTCTGCTTATACCGTGGACTGGAAACAAACGGACTTGAACGATGTTGCCTTCTCGTGGCGACACGGGCAGGAAAATCATGGTGCACAGGCGGCGAGCTATAGAAGCAGAGCAAGTATCAACTCTGGAGACCTTAGCAGAGGAAATCTAACCCTGCAGATCTTCTCAGCACGCCTGTCTGATAGCGGGCGTTACAGGTGTTTTGTGCCAAAACTGAAAGCCTTTTGCATCGTTCATCTTAATGGTAAACACTCTAAATAACCAAGTTTAGTTTGATACTAAGTTTTGTCAAACGTACCTTTTATATTTGGTTTTGGAATTTGGTTAAAGAAAGAGCAGAAAAGTGACTTTCCCTTTAAATGTAACAGTCCCAAATAATATGCAAAAGATGTGAGGGCTTTATTTCATGTTAACAGTTATAGCTTTGATAACACCGAGTGAACCATCGTGTCCTTGTATATTTTGATTTTGTCACAAAGGAAGCTTGAACGGCATGAATGTGACTGAATTTGGCTGATGTTGTGCTGTGTTGTTTAGTACTTTTCTGTGTTGATGTTCAGTTTCACAGCAATCTAGTTTTCCACTTATCATTATAACTTTCCCACAGGTGTGAATGTGAGTGTTGTCTTTATTTGTTAGTCCTGTGTCAGACTGGGCACCTGTCCACGGTGCACCTGTCCACGGTGCACCTGCCCACGGTGCACCTGTCCACGGTGCACCTGTCCACGGTGCACCTGCCCACGGTGCACCATGTACAGGGTGCGCCCTGCCGGTTGCCCTATGGTAGCTGGGATAGGTTCCAGCTTCTCCTTGTAACCCTAACAAGGATAAACGGAAGAGAAGTGGAACACAATAAAATTAAAATAGAACTTTATTCTGTTTCGTTTTATCCAAAGTAATTTAACATGGACTTGGAGGACACTATCAGACATGCTATCTTTTAAAAATATATATATTTTCTTTAGACTATTATGTTTAGACAGTCTCATATATTTCAAATACTGAGAATTTATTTATTTTTACAGTAACCAAAGAGATTAATGTCAGGTCCAGCACAACCACATCTCCAAATCTCAACAGCACAACCACAACGCTGAAGCCAAATGATCCAGGCAAGTGACTTTGAACTTTTCTTCTTTTCGCTTAATTAAGTTCAATTTAGTTTTATTTATAGTGTGAAATCACAACAGCATTCAGCTCAGGCTGCTTTGTATTACCAGGTAGAGACCTTAATGCAGACCTCACCACAACACAGAGAAAAGATGTTGAATGACCTATTTTTTTTCTTCACAGCAGACATTTTGAGCTGATGACGAATGGTTTCTTTTTAAGTGTCCCATTAAGTCATGAAAGTGATGCATCAAGAGCAATAGCAGAGTCCACTGCAGCCATGCATGATCACCCCCTGTGTACTTCAAAGGCTTATAGCTCACAAAATATTAGCCTGAAGTTAATATAATATAAATGTATATTAGGACGAAGGCAAAATTTTGCAGGGCTTCAGTTACTCTGCTAGAAAACGTGGAAACTTCCTTGGGGGAGCCTTCCCCAGTGTTTTACTAGGGATCAGCTTTCTGGAATGATAAACATCTTTAAAAATAAAAGAACTCTTCATTCGTGCCCCAAACTTGTGGTTTGATTTTTATATTCTGAAAAATGACTCACTTTTGCCTTGTTGGCTGCATGCAGTTCCTGTGAAAACTCGTGTATGCGCTAGAGAAGTGGGTTACACGTGAAGTCGTGTAGAGGGCTAGCTTCCTCTTTGTCAAGTCAAGGTTTGAAAGTACCTAAGTTTTAAAGGTTGCGTTAAAATTCACAAAAACTGCTGTTGTCAGCATGCCACCAGTCACCAGACTGCACAACTCATCTCCATGGTGTTGTCATTCACATTGTTGCAAAACTTTTCCATTACATATCAGAGTTAAACACAATGAAAGTGAAAGGAACTGGCTTCAACACTGATACATGATATTTGAAAAATTCCTCAGCAGCAGATTTTTTTGGTGTCCTGTTCCAACTGCTTTACTTATTTATTTTATTTATTTTTAATTTCTTTGCTTATCTGTTAGTTCTGTTAGTGTGCAGGCAGTAATACTGGGAAGAGAAGTCTCAGATCCTGACACAGCCGTCTGTGCTTGACCCATTTCAGCTTCCCTCCAGCCAACAACTGTGCTAAATTTGTAATTACAAGGTTTTATAAAATACATTTGAATTAAAAATGATCTAAATGTAATAATAATTCATGAATGGCATCACATTAATTTGCCTTTTAATTTCTGATTCTTTCAGATAAACGTCTTGCCGTTCTCCTTCCTGTTGGTATCGTCTTTCTCCTGGCTGTCGTTGGATTTTTTCTGAAGAAATGTGTAAAGATCCGTAAAATTATGTAGCAAAATTATACATTACACTGATATTAAATGTAAATAAAACACATAAGCCAAACACAAACTTTTATTGTTCAACTTGAAATGTCTGAAGACAACTTAAGTTTCTTTTATGCTTTTTTTCTCATTTTTACTCCATTTTGCATCAATTATTACAAGTGCGTCTTTCCATGTTTGCGTGTTTATCAAGGGCAATGCGTGGGGAAGCTGACAGGGCAGAAACGAGGAGTGGACCGTTCAAGCCACGTTGAACTTCAGTCTTTGGAGAATTCAACAATGAAATACGACACGAACAAGGCTTCTTGAGAAACGAGTGAAGTACAATGTTGTGCTTGTCTTTGATTGGCTGAGTAATCAAAATGATTTTAGATTCTCAAGCTGCTCTCATTACGTTACAGCTGGTTTGAGTACAACTTAATTCAAATTAATTACGTTGGATCGTTTTAAGCGTTTCTAAAAGCTCATCCTTGTTCCCATTTAGAGACTCGTATTTGATCTGTGTTATTGTATTGTATTTCATATTGGAATAGTGTGTGCTTTTGTTTAGTGTATGTAGCACTTTGCAGTGTGTGTGTGTGTGTGTGTCTGTTGCACATATATGTTGTATAGCCATTTATGTATATAAGTATATGCATAAACTGTGCCCCCCCTTCCTTCTACATGTTTGCACTGATGCTCTGTATCTCATTGTACATCTGTATAGTGACAACAAAGGCATTCTATTCTATATAAGCGTATGCTTACTTTATACATGGATGTTTTGTAACATTTTAACTCATTTTATTCTTTCTTTTGTTTTAACTACATTGTCTCTCTGTTCAACAATTTGGCCTTGATGTCTTTTAAGTAAATTAATGGTTACAGATCTGGGAACAATCACCGAGTGACTTACTGGTTATGTTTTAAATTCCAAAAATGAATTGGGACTCTGAGAGGCAGAACAAACAATCAAACAATCTGAAAGTATACTTCTGCTAAAAATCATGATGTGTTGGTTGAATATACAGCGTCCTCCATAATGTTTTTAAGATTGTATTTTTTTTCTCTGTACACCAGCACGGTGGATTTGCGTAATGTTTTTTTTTCCGTGAACGGGAAACTTCTTAAAGAAGCAGTTTGTCCAATCGTGTTTTAAATAAAGTTCTTTGAAAAGAAATTCCGCCAAAAAGTACGTCCGCGACGTAAGTACGCGCCACAGTCAGCCAATAAGCGTTCGGAGTCTTTCTAAAAGGCGCGAAATTCAGCTAGGACGAGGAAGTCGGGGGAGGAGCGTTGTCATGTGTTCGTGTAACATGGAGGGAGAGTTGTTCTTCTGCGTGCACTGGGTAACGTGTTTTTAATTGTTTTCCACCTAAATGTGAGAGTTATTTCTGTAAATGTAAATCTGCAATGTTCCTGCATGCTGCTTGTGTTTATTGGTTGCATGAATTGCTTGAATTTTTTTTTTGTTCAAAACATTTTGATGGCGAGGAGACAAATATTTGCGAGGAAATCAGAGTTTCTTAATTTGTGAACTTTTGCTGTCAACATTTTAAACTGTTATCAAAGCCTCGTGTGGTAGCTTCCCCAGTAATGATGACAGTGAAGACTCCGGGTTATTCAGTAAGTATTCTCTAAAGGTTTGGGATCAGGTCAGAAGATAACATTGGTCTTTTGAATATACTTTACTCAGCTGAGAACAGATTGTTTGGTTTTTGCACTGTTGCATAGCATTGTGCAGAAAGTCACGAACCACTCCACAAGTTTTGGATTCTTTTGCCCCCAAGTATCTGGATGTTGTTGTAAATGTATTAAGTCGTCTTGAGCAATAGTTTTATTTTAAGGTCTTTCAAAAAACATTTTGGACGCTGGATTCTTGACCAGGCGTGACTGTACCTACGAGGCCATTCTCAAAGACTTATTAGACCAAGACCAGTGCCATCATCTCCTCATGCTGTGCAGTGTGTCCTTGCAACTGGACAAATGAAGAACAAAAGGAGTGGCAGAAAGGCGCTGACTGATTGGGATCCATCTGACTTCAGCATGGCAGTGATCCCAGACACACGAGCAGTGCAGTACAACCACACAATCGGCAGCTGACGTTCAAAACAGAAATGATTGGTGGCTCGAGACTCTTGTACAGTAGGGTGTGTACTTTCTGAAAGACTCGTACACACCGGACCAAAAGCGGGGTGTTGGAAGTAAGCGGCTGAGGCGGGGGTCAGTTATTGGTCCGGTTATCTTTTAGGAGAGGGCTGATGGGTCAGTGTGAAAACGGCACGTGGTGGAAGACTGACGTAGGTTTCGCCGGCTGCTGGCGTAACTTCCCCTTTCAGGCTGCGCGAGCTTGAATGAAGTCGCGCGCTAAACCGGTTTGTGAAACAAGATGAGATCGTGTGTTCGTCTTTGTGCCCCACGCGACCTCCTCCTCATGTCATGCATAGCTGTGTGTTTTCCGTCATCTGATGGAGCTCTGAAGGGTAACTTGACTTGCACTTTGCTGGCTGTTTAGCTCGTGGGTACCAATACGGCATTAGCAGGGCGGGCTGTTCACTTGTTGTTGTTAGGAAAAGCCGTTTGGCGTGCGTGACCTGAGCAAACTCGCTGATTATTCTCGGGGGACAGCACATAACTTCTATGTTCAAGTATAAAACGGGTCCAGGAGCAGTGTTCAGCTGAAACGGCTGCTGTTTTAAGGTATGAGATCGTGACCTTAATTCAAAGGTACTCAAGTTGTTGTTCCTCTCCAGAAGAACCTCGAGCCATTTGCCCAGTTACGGAAATTGATGCAAAGGAAGGTGATGATGTCATCCTCCCGTTTTATGTGGTTCCCCCTGTCAACCTGTCTGCGTTCACCATGGACTGGTCAAGAACCAACCCGAGTGTGGTCGTCTACTCCTATCGACACCAACAGGAGTCGCATGATGCAGAGATGGATGCAACAGTCAGACGTGAAGACCTGAACAGAGGAAATCTGACACTGTGGATCCCCTCAGTGCAGATGTCCCACAGTGGAGAATACACAGGCTTCGTCATGGACCTCAGTATCAAGTGTAGTGTTCAACTTAATGGTAAGGACCTGAGTACTAGTTTGTGTTGTCTGATGTACTTGATATGAATGTAATGAAGAAATCCACTTAATGATATAAAATGATCTTCCACTTGGGGAAACGCAAACATAGAATAACATGATTTAAAACTGAAAA